TATATGTAAGCCACTCAGATATATTGCAGAGGAATTGTGTTGATTGGAAAAAAAAATGTTAAGTTTTTTACATTATAGGATTCAATTTGTGTCACACTCTTGAAATAATAGTTCTGGAGTCTCTATAGATGAGTGATTGTCAGAAGTTTGGGGAGGGGAGGAGGTGCCACTTGGTATAAGTGGCCATAGTAGAGATCCTTGATAAGCCTGCCCCGCAGCTCACTAGGCTAATCCTCCGCCTTGTGGCACCGGCACACCGGGTTCTAGTCTCGGTCGGGGCGCCAGATTCTGTCCGGTTGCCCCTCTTCCAGGCCAGCTCTCTGCTGTGGCCAGGGAGTGCAGTGGATGATGGCCCAAGTCCTTGGGCCCTGCACCCCATGGGAGACCAGGAGAAGTACCTGGCTCCTGCCATTGGATCAGCGCAGTGCGCCAGCCACGGCGGCCATTGGAGCGTGAACTAATGGCAAAGGAAGACCTTTCTCTCTGTCTCTCTCTCTCACTGTCCACTCTGCCTGTCAAAAAAAAACAAAAGATCCTTGAGAAGGAATGTTTTGTATCTTCAGTGGTGGTGGTTAGACTAATATGCACAGGTTTATGTCCTGTAAATTTTACAGAATTGAATATATACTCTGGATTGTAAAACTAGTAAAATTTTATGTTAGTAGATTTGTAGCAGTATATTATGCTATAGTTACACAACATTTTACTGTTGGAGTCAAACTGAGTGAAGGATATATGGAATCTCTCCCTGTTAACTTCTTAGAACACCATGTCAGTCAGTGTACAATTATCTGGTTACTGAATGAAAATTTTAAAGTATTTATTTACTGATAAAGGGTTCATAATAAGTTACAAATGTAGGGTGATTTAACTTAGGAATTTAATTATAGATGTAGAGGGTGGGCATTTGGTGCAATAGTTGAAATCCTGGTTGGGATGATGCCTGTTTCCTGTATTGAACTGCCTGGCCTTGAATCTCAGCTCCACTTCCAAATCTGGCTTCTTGTTAATGTGCATCCTGGGAAGCAGAGGTGATGGTTTAAATACTGAGATCTCTGCCACTCCCAGAGGAGACTCATATTGACTTTCCCAGGCTTCCGGCTTCAGCCTAGTCCAGCCCTGACTGTAGCAGGCATTTAGGGAATGAGCCATTAGGTGGAAGATACCTCTCTGTCTCTGCCTTTTAAATAAAATGAAAATAAAGGCCGGCGCCGTGGCACCGGCACACCGGGTTCTAGTCCCGGTCGGGGCGCCGGATTCTGTCCCGGTTGCCCCTCTTCCAGGCCAGCTCTCTGCTGTGGCCCGGGAGTGCAGTGGAGGATGGCCCAGGTCCTTGGGCCCTGCACCCGCATGGGAGACCAGGAGAAGCACCTGGCTTCTGGCTTCGGATCAGCGTGGTGCGCTGGCAGCCATTGGAGGGTGAACCAACGGCAAAAGGAAGACCTTTCTCTCTGTCTGTCTCTCTCTCACTGTCCACTCTGCTGTCAAAAATAAAAATTAAAAAAAAAGTAAAATAAAAATAAAAATTCCCCTCCCCCCAAATATAGATATAAAACTAGTATACAAGGAGTCTTTTAAAAGTTCATGGAAAATTTATATTATGAAAAGATTGTATATGGATTTAAAAAATTTTTACAACAGGGCCAGCATTGTGGCAGAGCAGGTAAAGCTGCTGCCTGCTGTGCCAGCATCCCATTTGGGTACTGTTTGAAATCCCAGCTGCTCCATTTGCAATCCAGCTCCCTGCTATTGGTCTGGGAAAGCAGCAGAAGACGACCCGAGTCCTTGGACCTCTGCCACCCGTGTGTGGGACCTGGATAAGCTCCTGGCTGCTGGCTTTGGTCTGGCCCTGCACTGACTGTTGCAGCCATTCGGGAATGAACCAGCGGATGGATGATCAATCTCCCCTCTTCTGCTCCCCTTCCCCCATGTAACTGACTTTCATTTTTTTAAATTTTTTTTATTTTTTATTTATTTATTTATTTATATATTTTTTTTGACAGGCAGAGTGGACAGTGAGAGAGAGAGACAGAGAGAAAGTTCTTCCTTTTGCCGTTGGTTCACCCTCCAATGGCCGCCGCGGCTGGCGCGCTGCGGCCGGCGCACCGCGCTGATCCGATGGCAGGAGCCAGGAGCCAGGAGCCAGGTGCTTTTCCTGGTCTCCCATGGGGTGCAGGGCCCAAGCACCTGGGCCATCCTCCACTGCACTCCCTGGCCACAGCAGAGGGCTGGCCTGGAAGAGGGGCAACCGGGACAGAATCCGGCGCCCCGACTGGGACTAGAACCCGGTGTGCCGGCGCCGCTAGGCGGAGGATTAGCCTAGTGAGCCGCGGCGCCGGCCCGTAACTGACTTTCAAAGAAATAAATCTTTAAAATAATTTTACAACAAAATAAGTATACCTTTTAATTCCATTTTTCCATTTTTTTGAAGTATCCTTGAAGTATCTGGAAGCACTGTGAATGATGTACTGTACACAGGAGAGGGTCTTACTGGAAGTGTAAAAATGTTTCAAAATGAGGAAATCTTTTGATTCTATTTACCATACTTTAAAATATCATGGTTTTTTTTTTTTTCTAGAGATATTTGATGAAGTTTAACATTCATTTCTTGCATTCAAAAGAAATTGTCAAAGTAGACAGCTACTTAAGTATGATTGTTTATGTACATGTGCTTTATTTATGTGCACACGTATGTACACAGGTACACGTGTGTCGACTTAAAAGCCAGCATATGCTTAATGGTAAAACATCAGATGCATTTCCATCAAGGTTGGGAACTAAACAGTATACTCATCATTACCCCTTTGAGTTAACATAAATGCTTTTTTTAAAAAAAAGATTTATTTATTTGAAAGAGAGAGAGAGAGAGGGAGAGGCAGAGAGAGACAGAGGGGTCTTCCATTCACTGGTTCACTCCCCAGTTGGCTGCAATGGTTGGAGCTGCACTGATCCGAAGTTAGGAGCTAGGAGCTTCTTCCAGGTCTCCTATGTGGGTGCAGGGGCCCAAGGACTTGGGCCATCTTCTGCTGCTTTCCCAGGTCATAGCAGAGAGCTGGATTGGAAGTGGAGCAGCTGGGACTCGAACTGGTACCCATATGAGATGCTGGCTCTGCAGGCGGTGGCTTTACCCGCTACACTACAGTGCCGGCCCCAATAAATGCTTTTCTAGCCAGTGCAACACAAATCAAAAAGCATGAAAATTGGAAAGTAAGATGCAACTTTTTTATTTGCAAATAAAATAATATGAAAAACTCAAAAGAAATTAGTTAAAATGCCAGTAAATTGGGGCCAGTACTGCAACATAATGGGCTAAAGCCTCTGCATGCAGCACTGGCATCCCATATGGGCGCTGGTTCTAGTCCCAACTGTTCCTTGTCCGATCCAGCTCTCTGCTGTGGCCTGGATAAACAGTAGAAGATGGCCCAAGTTCTTGTGCTCCTGCACCCATGTGGGAGACCTGGAGAAAGCTTCTGGCTTCCTGGCTTCGGATCAGCCTAGCTCTGGCCATTGCAGTCATTTGGGGAGTGAACCAGTGGATGGAAGACCTCTTTCTCTGTCCCCACTGTTTCTGTCTGTAACTATCTCTCAAATGAGTCAAAAAACAAAACAAAACAAAACAAAAAAAAAGTTTTAAAAAAAGCTAGTAAATTGAACTATAATTACTCATCTTAATTCTCTTAAGTCGGTACGTGTTAATTGATTCATTATATATAAACAATATGTAATCTAATAAAGTATTCTGTTTAAAATAATAAAAATGGTGAGAACTTTAAAAAATTTGAATTAAAAAAGTATTTTTTTCCTGAGAGGCAGAGGGATAAGAGATTGTCCGTCTACTGGTTCATTCCCCAAATGCCTGTAACAGCTAGGGCAGGAGTCAGGAATTCAGTCCTGGTCTTTCTCATGGGTCACAGGTACCAACCACTCCAGCCATTGTCTGCTACCTCCCAGGGTACACATTAGCAGGAAGCTGGAATCTAGAGCAGGGCTGGGTCTTAATTTCAGGCACTTTGATAGGTGATATAGCCATTCCCACAAGTCATCTTAAACTGTCGACCAAATGGCCACTCCAGATCTTTGAAAATATTACTAACAGGCATAAAATATGGCTTAAAAGACAGAACTCACCCTTGGGTGGACAGCCTTTCCACTATAAAATGCCTGTTTGTTGTAATACAGAAATATTTTGAACTTTGTAAAAATTATCAGTAAGAATTTTTAAAAATTATTACATTACATCTTTGGTCCACCTGTAATTTGTTTTGGTATAAATGCTTTACTTTATCAAAAGTAAAGAGTGATACATAGAATGGTAAAGACATTTAAAAATATGGACGATATTTTTTCTTTAAATTTCAGAGTGAGGAAATCCTTCCCAATCAGGAAGACGTTTGACTACATTAAAAGTATTTTGCATAAGTATTTTGCATAACTTTTTAAAACAATTATTATCTATGTGATACAGACTAATTAATATATAAGAAGTTCTCATAAATAACAAAAAAACTCAACAATCCAAAAGATAAATTGCCAAAATAATATGGATAGGTATGTTATAGACACAGTAGAGATGACTTTTAAACATATGGAAATTGATACAACTTTATTCAAAAGTAAAGAAGCAAAAATTAAATCACACCAGTTTCCATCTCATATTTGAAAGGTTGGTAACTTTTCTTACCAAGTTAGACTTTTGACTTGATAGCATATTATAGAAATGAATAGAGAAGTTTCACTCTTGTGCTATTAATGGGAATATTAATTGGTACATCCTTCCAGGAGAACAGTTTAATGATAATCATTAAAATTTAAATTTATATGCCTTTTAACATATGAAGTCCATGTATTAAGATCAGTCCCCATGATTCCATGGACATACAGAGATAAGTATAGGAGTGTTGTTTATAGTAGTCTATCAAAATTATTGCCAGATTATTGTTATCTAAATCCATATGATGTTATTTGTGATGTGTTATTAAAATAATTTCTTGTTATTTTAGCCAGAACTGGACAAGCCAAGACATCTGCATCCAAAGTAAACAAATCTGCAGGTATGTTTTTGATTAGGATTCTAGCTATACTAATTTTAAATTATTTAAGAAGTATTTAATAGTTGTCTTGGATTTTATATGACATGTATTGAATATATACTAATCTTTGAGATTTATATAGTCACAAGAAGTTTTCATAAACAGGATGATTTTTTTATGAAAATAAAATTCTGGATTGTCATTATGGCTCAGTGGGTTAAGCTACCGCCTGTGATGCTGGATCCCATATAGGTACCAGTTCGTGTCCCAGCTGCTCCACTTCCAATCCAGCTCCCTGCTGATGGTCTGGAAGAGGCAGTGGAGAATGGCCAAAGTGCTTGGGCCCCTGTCACCCAAGAGGGAGCCCTGGATGAAGCTCCTGGCTCTTGCCTTCAGTCTGGCCCAGCCCAGCCCTAGCCATTGGCAGCCATCTGAAAAGTGAACTAACAGATGGAGCAGCTCTCTCTCTCTCTCTCTAACTCTGACTTCAAATTAAATAAATAAATCTTCACTTGATCTTATCCAAAGACCAAGAAGTGATAAATCTTTAAAAAAATTTTTTTTTCTGGAGAAAGTACTAGAGTATACTAAAAAGTTTATGAAAAAGTAGAATTAAATAAAAGTTTATTTTGATGCAGAAAATTTTGAAACCCACACATAATGTTCTCATGCTATTTATTTTCTATGAGGCTTTTTGAAAGCCTTTCATATTTCTCATAATGCATATATTGGAGTCTTCTCTGTTTCCTTTTTTTTTTTTTTAAAGATTTATTTATTTGAAAGGCAGAGTTACAGAGGAAAAGGCAGAGAGATAGAGGTCTTCAGTTACTGGTTTACTCCCCAAATGGCGGCAACGGCCAGAGCTGGGCTGATCCGAAGCCAGGAGCCTGGAGCTTCTTCCAGGTCTCTCACATGGGTGCAGGGGCCCAAGGACTTGGGCCATCTTTTACTGCTTTCCCAGGCCATAGCAGAGAGCTGGATTGGAAGTGGATCAGTCGGGTCTCGAAGTGGTGCCCATATGGGATGCTGGTGCTTCAGGCCAGGACGTTAACCCACTGTGCCACAGCACCGGCCCCTATAATTGGTTTTTAAGTAATTATTATTCTCCTTCCTCCTTTGGCATAATCCTCCTTTCTGTTTTTCCCTACCGTCTCTACTAAATGCAGGTTAATTCAGGATCATCTCTTTTAATAGAGGTCAATGTATTAAATTTTCTTCCCCATAATGTTGAAAAAGAAAGGAAACTGTTAAGCTGGGAAGTCCCACTGTTAGTGGCAGAGAGTTTTCATATTGTCATATCTTAGAAGGAGTAATCTGGGGGCAGGCACTGTGGCGCAGTGGGTTAACTCCCTGGCCTGAAGTGCCAGCATCCCATATGGGCGTCGATTCGAGACCTGCCTGCTCCACTTCCAATCCAGCTCTCTGCTATGGCCTGGGAAAGCAGTGGAAGATGGCCCAAGTCTTTGGGCCCCTGCACCCATGTGGGAGACCTGGAGGAAGCTCCTGGCTCCTGGCTTTGGATCGGCGCAGCTCTAGCCGTTGCAGCCAATTGGGGAGTGAACCATCAGATGGAAGACCTCTCTCTCTCTCACTCTCTCACTCTCTCAGCCTTTCCTCTCCCTGTGTAACTCTGACTTTCAAATAAATAAATAAATCTTTTAAAAAAAGTAATCTGAATGGAATTATGAGTTGCTAAGAAACTTGTCTTGAAGATGCATTTATTTTTGCGAAATTAAATTATTACTTTGATAATAATTGTGTGATACTCATAGTGGAATTGCACTAGCCTTCCCATAGCTATGGAAAATCAATGCTGGCCAGTGCCGCGGCTCACTAGGCTAATCCTCTGCCTTGCGGTGCCGGCACATGGGGTTCTAGTCCCGGTTGGGGCGCCGGATTCTGTCCCGGTTGCCCCTCTTCCAGGCCAGCTCTGCCCGGGAGTTCAGTGGAGGATGGCCCAAGTGCTTGGGCCCTGCACCCGCGTGGGAGACCAGGAGAAGCACCTGGCTCCTGCCTTCGGATCAGCGCAATGCACAGGCAGCAGCACACTGGCCGCGGCGGCCATTGGAGGGTGAACCAACGGCAAAAGGAAGACCTTTCTCTCTCTAACTGTCCATTCTGCCTGTCAGAAATAAAAAAAAAAAAAAAAAAAGAAAAGGAAAATCAATGCTATTTTTCCTGAAATTCTAGTTCTTTGGCGGTATTAGTAAAATGAATTAACTTGTGATAGTAATATAAGGATAGTGAAAGAAAAGTCTGTGGCCTTACCTAACTAGTGTAGAGGAACTTGTGAACAACTAAGAATTGATTAATTTAGATAACAAGCTGTAAGGGTTGGTACCGTGGTCCTGCCTTACTTGGGACAATATATTTCAAGACCTCCAATGGATGCCTGAACTGTGGCTGGTACAGAACCTTTTATAAACTATGTATTTTTCCATATATTCCTGTGATAAAAACTTTATGAATTTGACACAAGAAGAGCTATAATAACAATAATAGAACATAGTGTGTGAATGTGGGCTCTTCCTTTCCCCTCAAAATATTTTATAATACTTTCACTATTCACTTAGGAAGCGCTCTGCTGTTTTTCTTTGACTATCAAATTGCCAGCATTACTACTCTTGTGCTTTGGGGCTGTTATGAAATTACACTTCTGTTTAACTGGGACACTGAGATAACCAGTCTAACAGCAGAGATGCTACTATGTAACAAATGGCTCAGAAAGTTTGTGGCAAGTAAGATTAAACTATGTTTATTTTGGTAAAAAGAAAATAATCTATTGTATTTGTATTCTATTTTGACAGGCAGAGTGGACACGGAGAGAGAGACCAGGAGAGGACGGTCTTCCTTTGCCATTGGTTCACCCTCCAATGGCCACCGCGGCTGGTGCGCTGCGGCCGGCGCACCGCGCTGATCCGAAGGCAGGAGCCAGGTGCTTATCCTGGTCTCCCATGGGGTGCAGGGCCCAAGGACTTGGGCCATCCTCCACTGAACTCCTGGGCCACAGCAGAGAGCTGGCCTGGAAGAGGGGCAACCGGGACAGAATCTGGCGCCCCGACCGGGACTAGAACCCTGTGTGCCGGCGCCGCAAGGCAGAGGATTAGCCTAGTGAGCCACAGCGCTGGCCAAGAGAAAATAATCTTAAAACCCATTTGTGTAAGCTGTCTTTAAAGTTCTTAGTGAATAGGTGTTATGAGAAAACTATACATGAACTACAAAAATTTTTTGCACCAAAGTAAACTTACTGGTAAATTGCAGTTTTCCACAAATACTTTGAAGTCTCATATACAGTATGGATTCACTGGACAAAGGGATCACACATGGAACAGCTTGCGATTTCATCATGCTACTTGAGAACAGCGTACAATTTAAAATCTAATGAGCTGTTTATTTGTAGAGTTTTCCATTTTGTACTTACAGACCATGGTTAACTGTGGATATCTGAAACCATGGACGCCTAAACTGCAGATAAGGGAGGACTATTTGTGCTGCCTTTTTGGACTAAAATTATGGTCTATCTTTGAATATAAAGGGTGGGTTTATAAACACTTTCAGTTGATTTTTGTGGATGTCAGTGATTGTCTCTTTTTTTTAAAGTATAATAATAAGTATAATAGTGTTCCCTCACAGGGTTTCTTCCTGTTAGGTAGTTGTAGCAGTCACCACCCTTGTTTATATATGGAATAGTCCACATAGGAGTCTTGTGAATGCCCTGTGGCTCACTTGGTTAATCCTCTGCCTTTGGCGCCGGCATCCCATATTGGCTCCAGTTCTAGTCCCGGTTGCTTCTCTTTCAGTCCAGCTCTCTGCTGTAGCCTGGGAGGGCAGTGGAGGATGGCCCAAGTCCTTGGGCCCCTGTACCCATGTGGGAGACCAGGAGGAAGCACCTGGCTCCTGGCTTCACATCGGCGCAGGACCGGCTGTTGCGGCCATTTGGGGAGTGAACCAATGAAAGGAAGACCTTTCTCTTTGTCTCTCTCTCTCACTGTCTATAACTCTACCTGTCAAATAAATAATAAAAAATACATTTTTAAAAAAAGAAATCTTGTGACTGCCCCAAGGCTTCTCAGTTTATCTTGGGAGTTCAATTTAGAGCTATGATTTCTCATCCTGGATTTTTCCTCATACTTTGTTCTTATGAATCCTGATTTTCAGAGCTAAGTCTCTTGCTCTGTTAAAGATGGTTTTACTCCCTGTTCAACATCTGTACTGCAACTTTGATCGTAGTCCATAAATAGCAACATCTTGGAAAATAAGCAACAGTAATAGCTAGGTGACAAAGAATGTTTGGAGAGATTTTAGTAGTCCTGAGCAATTTAAATAGTCCTGTACAGCAAGAACATTCTAGCAGTGAATCAAAGCAAACTTTATGTGACCTCACCACAATTTAGATGTTACTGAATGCTTTTTAACCAACTGGGAGCAAAGCAAGTAAGCATGGGTTGAAAAGCTCTAGCTTTAACTGCTTTTGTAACTATTAAAAGCATGGTTTTTTGCTTTTTTTTTCCCTCCTATCCTTGAAATTGGTAATTTTCCTTCTGGTTGTTGGACACATTCACAAGTTCACTTAACCTGCCTGAATGCTGTACCCCATCAGGGAAGTGAAATGTTTGTTCAGTGATGTATTGTTTCCTGAAAATTACCGTAATTGCTAGAATTAGAAAATGTCTTGTGCCCCCAAAGATGATAGCATTTTACATTTTGAACAAAATTCTAATCTGTTGTTCTTCTATTCTTTTCCTGTGAGGTTCTTTGGAGATTATTCATACTAGTTAAGTAAACCAACTTTGACTGTAGCTTTTGTGATTTAGGGAAATCAGCAAGTTCTGTAAAATCTGTGGTAACAGTAGCTGCGAAAGGTAAAGCTTCAGTCAAAACAGGTAAGACTGTTGGAGAAGCAATGTGTTATTAAGTTTATTCTTAATTCTCCTTTAAAGAATATAATAAGTGTAATATCAAAAGCAAGTTTCAAATTCCTAAAATAGATTTTAGCATCTTATAACATTTGAAGAAGTTAATAGATACTACACACCTATATGGTACTATATACACACTACATATACACAACTTTTTGACTGTACATTTTTCACAGGTGCATAATCACATGCTGGTCTGTCACTTCCTCTCTATAAGTGGTTTAATCATTATTTTCCTCTTTGTTTTTGAATGGTGACTCATATTACCTTCTTCTGCTTGTACATTTCCTCTGATGTTTGTTACTTTTAAAAAGATTACTTCTTTCCATGTTAGAAGAATGCTTTTTCTCCATAAATAAGTGGAATACTATTGAAAATAAATATAGCACGTTGAAACTACCAGTATCTTTTTAGTAATACATTTTCCAGTAGCCTAGTCTTACAGAACTTTTGCAGAATTAGCAAAATACGAGTTTTGTAATGTGTTCTTAATGATGTGCTTCTATCACTTGAGGTTTGAACTTGTAACTCACTTTAGGATATCATCCAAAAATGGCATCTCAGCTTAGTAAAGCAGATAATGAATATAAATAGAAAAAGTGAATGTTCGGAAAGAACTGCTTTTATAATAAACCACTACTTATTCACTAAGATATTAGCATAAGACATGTTGCATGGTTGAGCAGACCCTTAAAATAATGGATCAATTCTACCTTTAAAAGCAAAATCTACTGGGAAGAAGTCTCTGGAATCAAAAAAGGCTGGGAATATCAAAAACAAAGACTCCAGTAAACCTGTGACTGTACTAGGTAAGTTTGAAATGTTGTTATTTCAGTAGTTTATTATCTTAGACCCTCTTGGTGTTATACTCAGTGTATATCTTGTAATTTTGCTTAAAAATCTTCAAAGGGCTTGTTTTTAAATTAAGTCGGATCAGCCTAAGGAGACCTAGACTGACCAATAAGCTTAAGTTCCTTTTCACTAGTTGAATTATATTAGTGCTTTTCTACACTGCTAAAGCAGACTATTTCATGCAGAAACCTCTGAAATAAAGACTGACATAGAAGCGAAAGCTACAGAGAACTCTGCTAAAGAAACTACTTCAGGTAGGTCAATAGAAATTTTATTTTGTTTTATAAAGGTGGAGGAGAATCGAAATTTTAAGAGCAGAGGTACTTAATTTTGTTGTATTACTTGAATACGTACCTACACACATTTTTTCCTCCATCCTGAAATAAAGGTCATACCTAAATAAAATTAAGAATATTATGATTCAAAGGGTCAGCATCATGGCTCAATTCCAGCATTCCTTATTGGAGCACTGGCTGCTTTGATTCCTATCCAGCTCCCTGCTAATGTGGCTGGGAAGACAGTAGAAGATGGCCCAAGTGCTTGGACCTCTGCCACCCACATTGGAGACCTGGATGGAGTTCCTGGCTCTTGGCTTTGGCCTGGCCCAGCTCTGACCATTAGCCGTTTGGGAAGTAAACCAGTAAATGGAAGATCTCTTTCTGTCACTCTGCCTTTCACCAAAAAAAAAAAAAAAAGGAAAAGAAAAAATAATTTTTTGATTTAGATTTTCACCCTTTTAAATGTGATTAATGCTATCAGAAGAAATAAAAATGTATTATTTAAAAGCCAGTGTCACTTTTGTAGCTGTTCCCCTCTGGTTCTCTAACTCTTTTGTGAGCTGTGTACGCTTTCAAATAGCTCCTGTTTAATCCATTGTGGAATAAAGTGAGATCTTGATAAAGTATATCTATTTATTTTTTTCTTTTGTTTTGTGTTAAGAAGCTGCTTTGGAAACTGCAGAAAATGAACCAGTTAACAAGGTCAGTTTTTTATTCCTTTAAACCTTAAAAAAATTTGACAAAAAAAGTTTTTTACAAAATTGAAGTAAAAGTTATTATGGTCTTTGGGACTTTGAAAAACTCCAGTCACTTTTGATTCTTTGAGTATGTCTTGAGTTCAAAAACTTTGAGTAGCTCAGTAAATGGAAGATTTATTAATACATTATTAATAAATGTACATATTTTTGAAAATCACTTTTTCATTGGGAATGACATATTAGCCAAAATGAGTCTTTTTGGTACACAACAGGTTATCAAATTAGAACCAGGGGAATTTTCTGATAGCTTTTTCTCCCCTAGGAGGCAAACGTGAGATATGTTAATATTTGGAATTCCAGTTGTTTCTTTGTGTTTTGGAAGGAACAAATAGTGTTTTCAGTTCTGTTTGAAGGATATAAACTTCACCTTATTGTTTTCTTATGATATCTGTTATTATGAATATATTAAAATATCTTTAATTTAGAATTTACCAGTTTAGATTTTGCCATCATTTAGTTGCTAAGCACAAGTTTATTTTTATGTAGTAACTCCATTCTTCAAGTGGTAATTAAATAATACATCTTACAGGGATAATATTTTAAAGCACCAATAGTCCTTTAACATAAAGGACTTCAGGGAAGGAGCCATTTATTAATATAGTTGACATGGTAGTTAAAAATCACTAACAGTTGATTTATGGAAATCATAAAAATTTATAGTTTTTTTTTTTTTTATAAAACAAAAGTAAAACATTGTACTATGGCTCATTTTTAAGAATTTCCCCAAAATTTTCAAAGAAAAAACTGTCATTGATAAGAGAGCCATCTTGAAGAATAAAATCGATGTGAAAGGATGTTTAGTAGGAAAATAGTGCTTAACTTGCAGTGGCGATTGAGTTGTGTGGTAAGGAGTCTAAGGAAATACTGCCAGAAAGGGATGATCCTTTCAAGAAGGTAAAAGGATACCCACTGATTTGGAGTTTGGAGTTTGTGCCCATAAAGCACAGGAGTGACAACAGTACTTGAATGGCATTGTAGTCAAAGATATTTCTCAAATTTTAAAGCACCAGGTGAAAAAGAGACCTATAGAACTAAATTAGATGATGGATAGTACCTCTATTAATTTCATATATTTGAAGAACATAAATTTGCAAAATAGGGAGGGAGTGTTGTTTTTAATTTGAAGTTCAGATCAGCCTACTGAATTGATCAGACTTGCTCAAATATTAAATGCAGTATACATACTGACATATAGTGTGTAGTATAAACTTGACTAATCTAAAACCTGTTAAACTTTAATATCAATTTTTAAATTTATTTTGAAGGAAACAGAGGAAATGTGTGTGATACGTATTTCTAATTTGCCTAATAAAGGATATTCTATAGAAGAAATTTGCAACTTAGCAAAACCGTTCGGTGGTTTAAAGGATATTTTGATTTTATCATCTCACAAAAAGGTAAGTTAATAATAGGTATTCATACTGTCTGACAGCACATTTTGAAGTGTTAAATTCATAACATGGGAAGAAAAAGTTTAAAAACACCATCTTAAAGTAATCCAACCATTTCAAGCTAAAGACATTTTAAAATGTAAAACAGAAAGATTCCTTTATGTTTGAATTCTAAGCAGGCATAATTTTGATGCTGGGGGGAAAATGGCTTACTAATAATTTCAGAAGTTTTGCCAAAAAATTTGTTTAATAAAAATGTTATACGTCTGTAATCTGTTTAACAAAGAATTTTCAAATGACACTTAGCATTTTGTAGATCATTTTCACTAGTATTTCTTTAGGCTGTTTTACTAATGATATTCAAATGGGAAGTAACCTTTTTGAGACTCAAACTAATAATGGCATCAGTACTTAGAATGATCTAGGCTCTGAGTTTTCTATCAGTTTACATTGCTTTTGCATTTTAAAACAAATTTATTGTTAACAACTTGTGGGAAGTATTTTGTATGAAATAGGATTCCAAAAATGAGTTTAAATAGTGGAACTGACATCATTGTAGTGCCAAAGAATATTGTTTTTACAATAGAAAGGTGTTGGTGAGTTCTTTGAGAATAGAGTTTGTGTTTGGTGATAATCAGAATCAGTGTGCTTGAGAAAACAGGAGAGGAGACAGAATACGGTTGAGTTGTATATAGCTTGACATTATGTTACATATAGATTATTTGAATAATTACACTACTTTGTAAAGTGTATATTCTTAAATGATTGAACTTTTTATGAAAATTATATTTCAGTAGTTTATTTAAAAGTCTATTATTATGTTTTAAAAACATAACAAAAATGAACATGTTTTTAATGTGAGTTTTTTCTTTTGAAAGCTTTTATTTAATAAATACAAATCTCATAGGTACAGCTTTAGGAATACAGCGGTTCTTCCCCCCATACCTGTACTCCCACCCCCACTCCCATTCCACCTCCTGTTCCTTCTCCCATCCCATTCTTCATGAAGATTCATTTTTAATTATCTTTATATACAGAAGTAATGTGAATTTTTTAAATGAGTTTCTTAATACATTGAGATAGGGGAAATGTGTGTTTACAACCAATTTAAATTGATATTTTACGTCACATGTCAAAGTGCATATTATACCAAAGTATATGTGTAAACAGGTAATAAAGTGTATGTTCCAAACCCAAATATCTTAATTATTATCTGCCCAATTTTGATGAAATTTAAATATTCTGTGATTATTGAACATTTCCAAGATATTATATAGAAAATACCTGGTTCAATTTACACTAGTCCTCCATTTTCCTCTCAGGGAAGTGTTTGGGCTCTGCTGGATGCCTAAAACTAGGGATATTACTGAACCCTATTTTATGATGCTATTCTTTTCATATGCATATGTACATAAAGTTAAGCCTTTTCCATTTTTAGATAAGTACTTGTAGTACACTGGGGCCATTATGTTTGTATTTGGAGGTACTGTAGCAAAACTAGCATGTGTTTCTTTTTCCTTTTTTACAACCTCACACTTTTAGAATTTGTTCTTATGTAATCTCAACATAATTGTTTGGTTTGTTCTGTTTTAAGTAGAAAACTTAACCTCTTCATTTAAAAGTAGTACTTTATAGCTTCTCTTTGCCATCTCTGAATTTCCAACAGCTTTACTCTTGTGCTTTGTGCATTATTAAGGAAAATAAAGGGTGCTTAAACAGTGGGATATGGAGACCATCTATCTGATAACAGAAATGGCTGATAATTGACCAGTTGGCACATACAGTGTGTATACCTAGACAAAAGATTCATTTATGTGCTGGCCAGTCAGAATGAGATTTCATTACATTATGGAGAATAGCTCATAGTTTAAAACTTGTTGTTTATTTCTGGAATTTATCATTTACTATTTTCAGACTATGCTTGATTTTGGGTAACTGAAACTGTGGAAAATGAAACCAGATTGGAGGGAAGGATTCTATATAATGCAAACATTTGTAACTTAAAATTAACATAAAGCAACATGAAAAAAAATTTGTGTAAACTGGGAAACAAAATTCATATCCACATTTTATTATGATATATTAGAACTTTAGTACATTGGCAAATGGCAGATAATTCATTAAATTATGGACTTATAACTAAACATATAGACTATTTATACCTTATTAGTTTTGGTTCAACTTCTTTATTTAGGTATGAAAATTAAAACCAAAATATTTGGAGCTCCAATTTTACACTTATGAAAACAGCAAAATGAAAAATAACTTGACAGTCCTTATACATTCAGTCATATATTTTTAGTTCATATTTCTCATTTTATCAATTGTTGGATTTATTTGCTTAAGAAATATTCTTCTATATACTAAGGATACAGTGATGAATAAGAGGACTTTTGTTAATGTTGGTTACTAAAATGTCCTTGTTTCTGTCTTTAGTATTGACTTCTGAGTTCAGTCATTTTTTCTTGCTTATGGTTTTTAACATTAGTCTGTGGGACTCAATTTCTGAAGACTGTATTTTTTAATTTTAAAAGTGCTTACTAAGTGTTCAATTCATTTGATTCAAGTATTAAATCTTTCCAAGAAAGAGTAACTTAAGACTTATGTTTTCATTCTTGTAATTTCTATTTTAAAAGGCATATATAGAAATAAATAGAAAATCTGCTGATTCTATGGTAAAATTTTATACTTGTTTTCCAATATCCATGGATGGAAATCAACTCTTAATAAGTATGGCTCCTGAAATCGTGAATATAAAAGACGAGGTAAATGAGACTTAACATCATGTTTACTAAATTTTATTAAATTTCTTATCAGATTTATTTTAATCTGTTACGTTTTGTAATTTTCTTTGAGTTCACGTTTTCTCTCAGGCATTGAGAAAAGTACTTCCTGTCTTTATAATAGTTCACTACACTGTTTGAGTTATTTTCTTAGTGAAACAATCCTGTCCTTCATGTGTATTGATCTTGAAAACAGTTATCACCTCAGCATTCCTAACTCAGTGCCATTATCTGTCGTTCAAACTGGAATCCCTGGACTTTCTTTAATTTTTTTTCTCTCATTCCTTATATTTGGTTTATTAATAGATGTTGTATAAAGGTTGTTTCTTTATCTCAGACCATCTTCTATTATTTCGTTTCTTAAAAACTTCTGCTGGACCACTAGAGTAGTTGATCTTTGTACCTTCTACCTTCAGTTTTGTTTCCCTCAAGTCTTTTCTCCACAAGGCCCTCTGACTGACTTACAATTCAAATCTGTCCCAATTTAGCTTTAATGTCTCTGTGGCCTGTAAACATTGACCATCAACTGTTAAGAGGCAAGAGATAAAGATGGGGAAATCTCCAGAGTAAGATGGATATAAAATACATGTAATTTGAGGAAAACTTTCATCAGAATCACTCTCATTTGATTGAATTGGTGGTGGTGTTTTATACATGTCAGTAAAAAGAAAAAAAGTTTAAGAACCATAGTCTAATGTTTGTTACCCTCTGCCAGCTCTGACATTGTAGGCTCATGGCATTCTTGGCCTGATTATAATGCAGCAGCAGCAGATCACTTCATACTTACACACTGTGCTATTTTCTGTTTTGTCTGCATTTCTATTTTTTCTATTTTGATTTGCTTAATTTTTCTTTATAATTTGATTATCTTCCTGTAATCTGAATTAAGTCTTTTATTCCTTGTATTTGAACTTGTGTGTTCATTCTAACTATATTTAGGGGAATAGGAAGAGTTAAATTGTAATGGGAAGGTAGGACTTTGATAACTTGTTTTGAGGGAAAGATTTTTGAAAGGAACAGAAGTTTTGCTACTTCATTTTATGAAATGCTGTGTAATGTATATTTGCATAGATTATTATATTACACATCTTGACTGAATATGTGAATGACAAAGAACTTACACTTTGAACCTTTGTATAATTTGACTTTTTAGGAAGCTATGTTTATAGCCTTGATTAAAGAAAATGACCCAGAGGTAAGTTTTGCCTTTGATTTCTTTTTTACCCATATTTAATTGATAGAAACCTTGAGTGTTTTATTTATTCACCTTTGAGTAAATAGAGAAAAACATAGTAATAATTTTAAGATATTGAGGGTGGGGCCAGCACTGTTGTATAGCAGGTAAGAGCCCTGGCATCGCAGGTAAAAACTGCTATTGGTGGTGCTGGCATCCCATGTGGGTGCTGGTTCAAGTCCTGGCTGCTCCACTTCCAATCTAGCTCCCTGTTGGTGTGCCTGAGAAAGCAGCAGAGGATGGCCCAGATGCTTGGACCCTTGCACCCACATTGGAAACCCACATTGGAAACCCACAGGAAGCTCTTGGCTCCTGGCTTCAGATTGGCCCAGCTCCAGTACTTGTGGCCATTTGGGGAGTGAATCAGCAAATGGAAGACACCTCTGTTAATTCTGCCTTTCAAATCAATAAATAAATCTTTTTTTTTTTTTTAACATTCTGGTGGTAATGGAGATGTCAGATGGGTTGTCTTCTTGTTAAAATAAGAAATAAAGGGTCATGGTAATCCTTGATATGAATTAAATTCCCCATATATTGGAGTATATAGTAAGTGGCCCTATAGGGCAGTAGCCTGACAGAGGATGTTTTGGGTAAACATATTGATAGTAGAAGTACTCTATTTCTTGTTTTAGTATATTGTTTTACTAATTACTCAAACAAATAGACTTCACTATCATCATATATCATTTTCTCACTCTTAAGAAAGGACATTTCTGGAGTCTGTAATATTTTTATTTATATTTATTTATGTATTTTACTTGATAAGCAGAAAGAGACAGATGAAGAGAGAGACATCTCCCATCAATGTTTTATTCCCCAAATAAAACATTAGCAATAGCTAATGCTGGGCCAGGCCAATGCCAGGATCTGGGAACTCATTTGAGGTCTCCCACATGGGTGGCAGGGATCCAAGTACTTGAGCCATTCATTACCTGCTATCTCCCAGGATGTGGCTTGGCAGGAAACTGGAATTGGCTGCAGAACCAAGACTTGAGCCCATGCACACTGATACTGGATACAGTTGTCCCAGGCTGCATCCTAATGGCTATGCTAAATTCCCATCACCTATAATGTTAAATTATTGTTAATCTGTGTGTATAGTGTGATGCTACAGCATTTTGTTTTTTATGCTGTCTCTTTTTTTAAAAAATAGGCAAATATAGATAAAATTTACAATCGATTTGTACATCTTGATAATTTACCAGAAGATGGACTTCAATGTGTACTTTGTATTGGACTTCAATTTGGAAAAGTAGATCACCATGTATTCATGAGTAATAAAAGCAAGGTAACAGTTTCCCTCTTAACATAGTTATATAGTCTGTGAGATTATGTAGCTGGAACCCTATATTATGATCTGCATCTTATAATTCAACTTCTGAACTGAAGTACTTCTAATCATTATGTAACTGCTTACCAGAATATATACTTACCAGAAATGTGCTAGGTTAGGATATTTTCTTCTGGACTGTGACAAGACAGAAGAGGTTATCTCTCTCTCTCTTTAGAGCTCTTAGTCTTTAAGGAAGATAAGACACAAGGGGAAAAGGTAATATATATAGTACACAGAGCATTATTTTAGTGGAATGTTTAGTTTGTTCTGCCCTTAACTATTTTACTTTGGCTTAGTTGATGCTTATTTGTAAAGTTAAGGATTATTACCAGATATTTTCTTTAGTAACTTACAGTCAAAAGACACGTAGAGGCCGGTGCCGCGCCTCACTAGGCTAATCCTCCACCTTGCGGCGCCGGCACACCGGGTTCTAGTCCCGGTCGGGGCGCCGGATTCTGTCCCAGTTGCCACTCTTCCAGTCCAGCTCTCTGCTGTGCCCCGGGAAGGCAGTGGAGGATGGCCCAAGTGCTTGGGCCCTGCACCCCATGGGAGACCAGGATAAGTACCTGGCTCCTGCCATCGGATCAGCGCAGTGCGCCGGCCGTAGTGCGCTGGCCGCAGCGGCCATTGGAGGGTGCACCAATGGCAAAGGAAGACCTTTCTCTCTGTCTCTCTCTCTCTCACTGACCACTCTGCCTGTCAACAAAAAAAAAAATAAAAAAAAAAAAGACATGTAGAATTAGGTCTGTTTATTTCTGTGGAAAGAAGTATAAATAAAATAATTATTCTTTACCATCATGACTGAACTTCCTTCCTTAAAAGAACACCAAAAACTGTGTCATCTGTTCACATTTGTATTTAACATGTATTTCAGCTGTCCATTAAAATTAAATTTTGATCAGCTACATATTACCCAAAAAGGCAAGATTTTATTCCAAAATATATAGTATTTCATTTAAAAAGTTATATAATTGAGCAATAATTTTTTATTTATTTCACATGTTCCTAACTGATAAATAGAGCATGTTTTGTACTGTAGAAATAGCTTCATATAGGATGGAATGTGAGGACAGAAGGCTTAAAAGAATTTTGAACCTTTGCTTTATAGATCCTTTATTGTTTATTTTAAACAAAAATTTTTATTTATAAAAAAACCAGATTTCATAAATACAGTTCTAAGAGCGTAATGATTGGCTGGTGCCGCGGCTCAATAGGCTAATCCTCCACCTTGCGGCACCGGCACACCAGGTTCTAGTCCTGGTCGGGGCGCTGGATTCTTTCCCAGTTGCTCCTCTTCCAGTCCAGCTCTCTGCTGTGGCCCAGGAAGGCAGTGGAGGATGGCCCAAGTGCTTGGGCCCTGCACCCCATGGGAGACCAGGAGAAGCACCTGGCTCCTGGCTTGGAATCAGCGTGGTGCGCCGGCCGCAGCGCGCCAGCCGTGGTGGCCATTGGAGGGTGAACCAACGGCAAAAGAGGAAGACCTGTCTCCCTGTCTCTCTCTCTCACACTCCACTCTACCTGTCAAAAAAAAAAAAAAAAAGAGCATAGTGATTCTTCCTACCCTACCCTCCCTCCCTCACTCCTACCCTCTCTCCTCCTTTTCTTATTTTTATTTTAATTTTTACAATGACATACTTTGAATTTGCTTTATAATTACAATCTTAATCCTTCACTGAAAAGCATACAGCATCCTCTTAAATTTTGCCTTGCCTTTGCAACATTCTAAAAATTGTTTCTTTGGTTTATTTTACACAGAGATTGACCTTACCTTTGCAATCATGTGTCTAGAGCCTGAAATAAAAACACATTCAGTTTTCTAAAATAATCTTAAGAAACTTTTATGTGATTAAAATATGCAAATTTCATATTTGTAAAACATAAATCTGTGGTTTTGATTGCGTTTAATTGTCAGATCAAAGGCATTAAGTACATTCATGTTGTACAACCATCACCTCCATCCGTATCCAGAACATTTTCCATTTCTTAAACTGAAGCTTCCTGTCCACTAAACAGTAACCCCCTAGCCAGTGTTAATCAATATTCTGTTTATGAATATGACTACTTAGGTACCTTGTATTTGTGGAATTCTGACTGACTTATTTCATTTACCATATCTTCAAGATTTATTCGTGTCAGAATTTTCCTCTCTTCTTAGGGCTATTAAATACTCTGTTGCATGCATATTTATCCACTTACCTGTTCATGGACTACTAGGTTGCGGGTTTTTTTTGTTTGTTTGTTTTTTGGCTACTGTGAATAATGCTTTTATGAAATGGGTATACAAATATATGTTCAAGTCCCTGCTTTTTTTTTTTTTTTTTTTTTGGGTATATACTGAGAAATAGAATTGCTGGATCATATAATAATTTTAAACTTTTAATTTTTTAGGAAGTATTCATGCTTTTTTTTTTATTTATTTATCTTCTCCAAAGGCAATTCTTCAATTAGATAGTCCTGAGTCTGCTCAGTCAATGTACAGCTTTCTGAAGGAAAATCCACAGAACATAGGGGACCATGTGTTAACCTGCAACTTATCTCCAAATATAGAGTCTTCAGAGGTAAGTGGTTTTTGTTTTTGTTTTTGTATTATCTTTTGTGCTTTTAGTTTTTTTTTTTTTTTTTTTAAGAATTAATTATTTATTTGAAAGACACAGTTACAGAGGAGAGACAGAGAATGATCCTCTATTCATTGATTCACTCCCCAGGTGTCTGTAGTGGCCTGGCAGGCTGAGGCCAGGAGCCTAGAACATTATCTGGGTCTCCCATGTGGGTGGCAGGGGCCAAGCACTTGAGTCACCTTCTGCTACTTTACCAGGTACATTGGCTGAGAGCTGGATTGGAAGTGGAGCAGCCGCAACTTGAATCGGCGCTCATATGAGATGTCGGGTTTAGAGATGGCAGCTTAACCCATTCTACAAGGCCATTCCTCCATTTGTGCTTTTAGAAAATGGAGAAAGCATAAAGTTCTTTCTCCCAGAAGTTACATTCTGAAGATGATTTGAAGAATTTTTCTTGGGCAATAGTCAAACTGGTTCTGAGTTTAGATGTTCTTTTTTTCTCCTCCCTCCCCTCCCCCTCTCTTCTTGGTTTTGGAAAGTTACAATCCAGGATTGGAAGAGTCCCATCGGTTCATTTGGTGATAACATTCTTGCTGGCATAGTCCTTAGGTAGGACAACGCAGTTCATGGCAAAAGACACAAAACACACAGAACTGTCAGTATCTGGTCAGTCTCTCCCCATCCGCTTCAGTCTCTCTCATTTTAAAGCTACCATAATTGAATCATGGAGAGTGAGACATGTCCCCCTAATATAATCACACCCCAAAGGTCCTACTCTTAAACACCATAGACAGATTAAGACTTTAGGGACTAAAGCTCATGTGTTAGGGAGAACAAATATTCAAACCATAGAATTCCACTCCTTCTCCCCCAAAAGTTGGATTCTTTATACATACAGCATACAGTGGTTGCATCTCCAGCAGTTCCAAAGTCTTCACCAAGTCCGGCATGAATTCAAAAATCCAAAGTCTCATCTAAGACTCAGAGCAAAGTGCTTCAGCTGTGAGCCTATAGAAATCCAGGTGGCATGCTTCCAAAACAGTAGTGGGATAGGCACAGGCCCTTATACATTCTGATTCCAGAGGGGGAAATAGATAAGTAAAACATATTAATTGGCCCCAAACAGACTGAAACCCAGGGCAGATGTTGAATCCTGAATCTCCCAAATCCCCAAGGCTTTGGGCACAGCCCATGCTTCAGTTCTTACCATCTTCTGTTGCATGTTGGTAGCTCCATAGTTCTGAGGTCTTGATAACCTCCCATACTCCATATTGCTATTTTCTCTACCTTTCTGGGGTCTTTAATTTTATTGACACAGCTTTACTAGACATCACCTCATTGGAAGCTCCTCTGACCCCTGAGCCTCTGACCCTGTGGCAGACTTCTGCCTCACCTCCCAGTCTTTCTTTGAATTCTTGGTGGAAGCTGCCATGAACTCAAAACTCTTAAATCCTGTACATAACAACCCATCATCATGTGGACTCCATCAAGTTTTGCTTCCTGCAGGAGCTGTGCCTGCAGCTTTGGAGTACTTTGATGCATGAATTGTGAGATGGTCTTGGGGATACTTATGGACAGGGGTAGGAGTTGTTTCCTTAAAATAATTCTGGTTTTCTATGCTTGGAGCATATGATGCAAGGTGGGGCTGGAAAGATTTCTGGGATATCCTCAAGACAAGTTTGCTGTTGTGCTAATGTGAAGCATTCAATAATATTTTTCAGGGGGTTCCTCAGCCTTACTGATTTGTACTTTTTTTCACTCTGTGCCTGGACAGACAGCAGAATTTCCCTCTTTAAATTGTATATTTTGCCTTAAATCAAGCTACTGCTTTCAGATACTGTGTGCAGTTAAAAGTAACCAAACATTAACTTGATGCTTGCTTTCTTTCCTTTTGAAATAGCTTTTCTTTTAATCCTATTATTCTGTGAACATTTAGAAATTTTCAATGTTTTCCTTTTATTTGAAAGGCAGAGGAACTGAAACAGAGAGAAAAATCTGTCTATATGCTGGTTCACTCCCCAAACGCTTGCAACAGACAGTGCCGGACCAGGCCTCAGCCAGAGACCTAAAACTCCATCTGGGTCTCCCACATGAGTGGCCAAGTATTTGAGCCATCATATGCTGCCTGCCAGGATATGTGTCAGCAGGAATCTAGATTGGAGTGGAACAGCAGTGACTTGAACCAGGTGCTCTGATATGAGATGCAGACTTCCCTGTGGTGTCTTAACCTAGTGACTGAGCCAAATGCCCACCTTTCCAAATGCTTTGTTATTTAGATGCTTCCTCTACCAGATTTCCTTGCTAGTCACTTTTGAACACAGTTCATCTAAGTTCCTTATGATGGTGTGACAAAGGAGGTCTTTACTCCAGTTTTCCATAGAATAGTCTTCCATTTGCATCTGAGATATTGTTAGCATGGCCTTTACTATCTATATTCCTATTCACATTCTGGTTACAACTACTTAGCCATTCTAGCTCTTCTCTCATCTTCTCAGCCTATCCCAGAATTACTGATAAGGCTTTGCTTAAAACAGTCTAGACCTTTTCTAGCCTGCTGTTTAGCACTCTTCCAATCTGTTAGAAACCAATGCCAGAGCTGCCTCCATATTTATAGGTGTAGTTATAATGTTTCCTAGCTCATGCAGGAGGTTAAGAGGGCATGGCATACCATGCCCCCCAGGAAAAGCACTGGTCAAGGGCTCAGCACACTGAGATCCCCAAATATGTTATGACTGCTGGCAGGCAGCAGAACCCAGGCACATTTCTCCCACCTCCACTTCCTGTTGAGGGGCCTTGTAATTGTCAACTAGGTAAACAGCTCCGGGTTGTGGCCCAGACCCCTAAGACCACCTGGAAGGCTATGTAGGCTACATGACCTTCAAGCTGATTGGAGAATCGTAGAGGCTCCAGTATCTGCTTTATCCTATAGAATTAGTGTTGCTACCCTGAGCTAGCTACTCCCCTTTGCCTGCCCTATTTAAAAAAAAAAAAAAAAAAAAAAAAAAAAACTGTGCCCAACTGTTAATAAATGAACACATTCACTGAAACTGTCTCCGGTGCTTGTCAAAGAACACCATCTCCGCACCATCCTGACAGTGTGGGCCTCACAGGACGAGCCCACAACTGGCGCTCAGACAGGGAACTGAACTTGTAAGGTAGGCAAGGGTGGAGCCCTCCCTGCTAGGTAAGGAGGCATCACCCATTAGTCAGGCCCCCATTCCCTCTCTGCTAGGTGAGAGGGTACCTCCGTCCCTTTCTAGGGACCCCCCACCCTGTTCATCAGCTCCAATCTCTCTGTGCTAGGTGAGAGGGTACCTCTGTCCCTTTCTAGAGGCCCTCACTGTGATCGTTGGCTCCAACTCCTCTCTGCTAGGTGAGAGGGTGCCTCCATCCCTTTCTAGGGTTTCCCCGCTGTGATCATCAGCTCCCCATGTGGATCTTCTATTGTTCACCTATGATAATTTTCTTGGTACCCTTGTTCTCTCTCTGGGACTCCTTGTTACCGCTCCATTGGACTGGTCTGTTTGTAGTTCATTCTTTCGCTTTCCTGATTGTTACCTACTTTTGCCCTTCACTATGGGCCAGATCCCGAGTAAGGACCCCAGGCCTAAGCTCTTGCAGGCTTTGTTGGAAACTCATGGCCTTAAACTAAAATGGGAGGAAGCCAAATGATTTTGCGAAACCTCTGTGGGCATGTGTCCGTGGCTTGAAGCAGTACACATTTATGATCCATCCGTCTGGGAGAAGATTCATAAGCCGCCCGTCGGCAGGAGGTAAACACCAACATACCTGCCCCTTCCCCAGTTGTTTGACCAGGTAAAGCTTTGTGCCCTCCATGCTTGCCTGAAGGAGGGGCCCCACTCAATCTCCAAGGCTGCATCGAAAAGCCTCTGAGGATCTTAAACTTCCTTACCAGAATGGAACAGGCTGTACACAGCAAGGTCACTCATGAGGGGGCCAAGAGGGCCCTGATCTGTGACCTGATATGGGAAGGCTTAAATAAGGAACACTGTGCTGCGATTGCCCCAGTGCGTATGAAGTCGCTAGATGAGTGGATTCTCACATGTCAGGATATTGGGGTGCACTCTTCCCAAACTGAGAAGCTCACCCAGGCACTTAATGCCTAGACAGAGATACTTTCCCAGGCTCTGACTTCTGTGGTACAGGTTCAGGACCCTGAATTCCTCCATGTTACAGTGGACACCTATTCAGGATTTATAATGGCAACTCCTTCAACGGGTGAAAATGCCCCTAAGGTTATTGCTCACTTCCTGTCTTGCTTTCTTGTTATTGAACTCCCACTTTCCATAAAAACTGATAATCGCCATGCTTATACATCCAAAGTGTTTACCTCCTTTTGTGTTAAATGTGCCATTTGTCATATCACAGGCATACCCTGTGACCCCCAAGGCCAAGGCATTGTAGAAAGGAGATGTTAGGACCCTAAGCTTGAAAAACGGGGAGGGAGTATGGTACCCCCCAAAAGAGTGTTAACTTTGCTCTTCTCACCTTAAATTTCTTATAAGTCTCACCCTCTGGAGAACCACCAGCAGTGAGACACTAGAGACCTCTCACAGGCCCAACCCAGTTGCCCCTGGTCTGATGGGGGAACCTGACTACCCAACAGTGGAAGGGACCTGATCCCCTTATAACAATGGGAAGAGGTTTTGCTTGTGTCTTTCCAGATATCGCTCCATAGCCTGTGTGGATACCCACCGGAAATGTCAAACCCTGGACCCCAATCTCCAAAAATAAGCCAACTTCAGCACCTTTCCCTAAACGAGCCACCAATGAAAAGACCCTGGAAGAGGAGGAAGCTTGTGCCCTCCCAACTCCCAATCCAACTGGCTTGATGCTGGTGGTGCTGATCTGTGCAGCACTGATGTCAAACTCTCAGGCTGCCCGTGACCAGGCTAGGTCCCAGGATGGCCCTGGCAATTTGACTTCCTACCCAAATACACAGTAACTGGACCGGACCCTAGGACCAGTCCTTCAAGGAC